CAGCCCACACAACCTTTTACCTGTTCATCGGGGCATCCACTGAATCCTCGCCTCCATCCTCCCACCATCCAAAGTGTGCTTCTAACAGTGGAAATACCTACCGCAAGCATGGGAAGATGCACAGTAACACAATGGCCCTTAATGCACCTAGCCCCAGAATTCACAAATATTGATAGCATGACATATTAATTTCACATCTTTTTGTAAGAAATAAAATATTCCGGAAAGAGTTTAGTGAGCCTTCTCTCCATCGTGCCATTCCTTTACCTCCTTTCCCAGAGGTAAGCACAATCCTAGTTTTTTGTCCATACATATAGTCTATATGTGTGTGTGTTAGATAGTCTGTGTGTGTTAGATAGTCTATATGTGTGTGTGTTTATGATCCCACTGCCACTGAGTCAATTCTGACCCACTGAGACCCTACAGGACAGAGCAGAACCGTTCCTTCGAGATTCTGAAACGGTCAATCTTTACTGGAGCAGAGAGCCTCATCTTTCTCCCAGTGGGTTCAAACTGCTGACCTTGTTGTTAAGCAACCCAACACCTAACCCACGACACCATCAGGGCTCCTCATATAGACATAAGCACACTATGAGTACTATAAGTACCATACTGTTATATACACATATATGCATACATATATGACCATATATCTAGGCAGTACAGTGTATGTGTGTGCATGTACCATATCTATGTACAAAACCCAAACCCGTCACATCAAGCCGAGTCCATTCGGATTCAGGGTGACCCTCGAGGACAGAGTTGAATTAATCCATAAGGTTTCTGAACCTGCCATCTTCATGGAAGCAGACTACCACATCTTTCTCCCACAACCTGGCTGGGGATTTGAACTGCTCACTTTGTGGTTTGCCACTGAGTGCTTAACAGCTGCACCACCAGGACTCTATCTGTGCACATACTAAACACAGTCATATATGTACACACATGCCCTCACATGCATATACAGTGTTTTTAAAATAAGTCCATGTATCACACAGATCCTTCCTTGTTTCCTGCTCTGAATGTCTTCTGAGATTTATCTGTCAGTGAATCAGGGCCTGGTCAACCCATTTGAGCTGCTGATAAGCATCCCCTAGCCTAGACAGTAGTGTCATCTTCTTGACTCAGTCCCCTTGGCAGACAATGAGGGCGAGTCCAATTTTCCCCACACCCTTCCGTGCAGCCATCAGCATCTGGACACGTCCTGTGTCCCTGAGAGCACACTGATGAGTCACGTCCATCGCTCACTTCTCCTGGACACAGCTGTGCCGAGAGACGCTGGCCACTGCTGACTGGATCAGAATGAGGCCTCTGATTCCAGGGCCCAGGATAGATTCCGGTGGCCAGTGATCTGTGAGAAGTGGCCAAGGAAAGTGAGTCAGGTGCACACCTCCTTCTGCTGGGGCGGTGGGGGGAGGTAGATGCTAGCAGGCATCTCCCCTGAGAGCAATCAGTTGCCAAACTGCAGTGGGCCCTGCTCCCTGCTGCTGGGGACAATGGACAGGCTCCTGTAGGAGGAGTTTACACCCTACTGATAATGGTTCCTATGGAGACCCAAGGAACAGGTCAAAGTTAAGCTGCCATCCTAAATCTAGGATCCGCCCATCTTGTCACATATATACCCCCAAACCCTCCTCTTCTTATTGCGTGTATGTCCCTAAACCACCCCTTTTCATTGCTGTATAACCTATAGTGCAGCCCCCTCCTGTGACGTATGTCCTCACCTGTAATTAGTGGGCTTGCACGCCCCCCCAAAAGGTATATAGGCCTGGATCAGCAATAGAGATCTCTCCTCTGACCTCTCTCTTGCTGGTGGCTTCCCTCTCTCCTCTCCCGTCCTCTCTCCCTTGTTCCCTTTCCCATCCTCCTTCCCTTCCCCCTCTCTCCACATGGACCCCTAAGCGGGGCTGAGGTGAGCAATGCTATCATGTAATGTATCTGACTGCATTATTGTAATACCTCTCTTCTACCTCTCATGCTCTCAATGACTTTAATATAATATATATACATCTCAACCGCACAATTGTACATTACTCAACCCGTCGGGGTAGCAGCGGGTGGGGCTGGCCCCCCACCCCCACATAAATTAATACTACATGGGCCTTTACAAGCAGCTGGCCGATTAGCCAGGCAGCTGAGCGGAGGACGAGAGGCCGTGAGCAGGAAGCAGTGAAGAAGCCAGCACAGAATGAAAGCACCCAAAGAGAGACCCCGCGGGCATGGAGGTTGCTGGCTCCGGCCGGGTCCCCGACTCTCACTACTCCACACACAATAAAAAGCCAGATGTGTCTCAGGCCTGCTCCGTCCCCACAATTAGCTGTGGAAGGGATCGCTATGATCCATAGGGCTTTTACATTTGGCTTGTTTTCAGAAGTGGATCACCAGGCCTTTCTTCCTCATCTGTCTCCATCTGGATGCTCCGCAGAAGCCTGCTCAGCATCATAGCAATACATAGCACATCCCTGCTGGCAGAGAACGGGGATCGGTCCAGTACTGTGAGTCCACCCTAGCTCACAGTGGCCTCATGGGGCACAGTAGACCTATAGGGTCTCCCAGGGTGTCAGTCTTACAGAAGCAGACTGACACATCCGTCTCCTTCGACGTGGCTGGTTCAAGCCTCTGACTTTTCAATTAGCAGCCCAGCCAAGGTAGTCAGGGCTCCTTGCGGCAGGTATAGGCAGCCCATTTCCTTCAGGACAAAGACAAGGCTTTCTACCCCTAGAAACGGCTACAGTCTCGGAAACCCACAGGGGCAGTTGCTTAGGGTCACTAGGATCAACTTGATGGCGGTGTTCGTTTGTTGTCATTGTTGGTGGGGGATGGGATGGGGTGGGGCACGGAAGGGGTCCTAAGGCATTTTAGCTGACTCTCAGGGCAGAGAACACCCTTTAAAGATCAGTGAATGTCCCCTCCTCCCACAATCCAAGCCTTTCCCAACCCAGGCAACTGAACAAAGGACCCCTCCCTCTAACCTCTCAGTGTCATCTTGGGTCTCTATTACCACGTGTGATTAACCCTCCGCTGTTCCCACGTAAGGAGTCCCGGTGCCACAGTGGTTACAAGTTAGGCTGCTAACCGATAGGTCAGTAGCTCAAAACCACCAGTTGCTCCACTGGAGACAGATGAGGCTTCTACTCTCATAAAGAGCTATCTTAGAAACCCACAAGGACAGTGCTCCTCTGGCCCATTGGTCGCTGTGAGTCGGCACTGACCTCATGGCATACAATCTGCCTACCCAGCAGGCCTGGCATGGCCCCTCCAGCTGCACGATCATTTATATCGCCCCCACACGCTCGAGCACAGGACGCATGTGGTCTTCATGTCTGCTGCCTATGACCGAGAGTCAGGGACAAAGAAGGTGCTCATTCAAAGTGTTGAGTGGACAACTGGATGTGAGCATGAAATGCATCTTACCGAACTACTTTCCCATGGCTCCTACCAATGATCTGATTTCAAAGAGGAGGGGACCAGGCCAAAGGACATTTATCTTCCTACAGACACTAAGTGTCACTTAAAGTGCTGTATTTAATAGGGCCTGACTGAGATGGGCCATTCTGAACAACGCAATTGCTATACTAGTAATGAGTCCACTTCCCATTATTGCTGGTGCAACGCAGACTGCAAAGGATTGCTGAAGCTGTCAGGGCAAAGGCCCTCGATTAGGAATCTGTGCCCTTCGCACGCCACAGACCACCCGTCTCTCACCTTCCCAGCAACGCAGCGCATAGTCTCCAACAGGATCCGGGAGAATCGCCCCTGCAAGTGCAGTTTGTTCTAGGCTTGTCTTTGTTTTCCGTCAGCCTGCTCGACCGTCTGGAAGCGGTTCCCCAGCACTGAGTACACAGTCGGAGAACGAGTAGCTATGCTGCGGCTGAAAGGAGCCCGGCTGGGAATGCCTGTGTTTAATATGTTTCTCTGAAGCTCCCGATGCGTATTGTTAGCCCCCTAGGAATGTTTGCGATCAGCAAAGGAGGGCGAGGGAGGGAAACCGCCTTGCTCTGCCAGGGCAGATTCAATCTCTGCCCAACACCACCAACAAAAGGCACAGACACACATACACTGAGACTCGATGAGGGAGGCAAACGCACGACCGGTTCGCTCCAACTTCTCCTCCTCCAGCTCGGGGGTCCCAGGGTTAGGGGAAGGAAGAGGAGAGCAGGGAGCCGGTGGCTGGGGCCATTCCATCCTAATCAGCTGTGGGGCCACCCTCCAGTGAACACTGTCCCCCCGACCCCTGGTCCTGACTTCCCTGGGCGTGTCAACTCCCTGCTAGAGAAGGTCACAGCCGACAAGGCTGCACAGGCCCAGTGTCCACCACCAGCAGGAAGCCAGTCTCCGTCCCAGTCAACTAGACTCATGGCAACGCCCTGTGGGTCAGCAGAGGCCTGGGCTCCACTGGGCTTTCCACGGCTGAGTTATTGCAGAGATGGCCAGGCCTTTCTGCTAACGTGTCTCTGGGGGGACTCAGACCTCCTCCAACCTTTAGTACCCGAGTGGACCACACAGAGGCCCCATCACCATAGTCCCTTCTGTAAGCTGGACATCTCCAGCCACTCGCCAGCGAGGAGTGACTGCAGTGAACACACAGGGTCCAGACAGTCCCGAAGCTAGGTCTCAGGCCCACAACTCCATAGCTGGGAATGCCTACCGCAAGTCCAGGAACCTCTTTGGGCCACAGCTTCCTGGTCCACAAAAGGGGGCTAACGAAGACTTCCACCTCATAAATTAAAATAGCAACCACCTTTTCCTTTTCTTCAGCCCCCCACCCCCAACCGCCCCCCACCTTTTATTGTCAGAGTTTACAGAGAAGGTCAGCTTTCCATTCAACCATTCAGACACATCCACTGCCACCCCACAATGGAACATCCCCGATCCCACTTCCTCCCTGACTTTCCTACCCCCATTCCGCCTTCTTTCCTAACCCTTCTAATCTGTGCCTTTGGGCCAATGCGGCCATTTTGATCCCAAATGACCGATGATTCTAAGGTGTGCATGCATACCTCATGAGTGTCCTGGCTTCTTTATAGACCTGTCAATTCTCTGGCTGAAAATACAGGTCGGGGTGGGTTCAGTCCCAGGCCTGAAGGGTGACTGAGGGTCAGTCTTGGGGAATCCATCAGCCTCTGTCCACCCAGTAAGCCTGGTCTTTTTCTTAGGATTTAAAGTTTCATTCCACAAAGCAAACAGCTCATGGCCGGCCAGCCGTGTCCGGGAAAGGGGCAGCTGCAGCACTTGGAGTCCATGCAGAGTCCGGCGGCTGGAGAACCGAAGAACACGGCCTCCTCTGCACCTAGCAAAGCCCACGCAACTGGCACCGGTGAGCCTGCTCACCAGGTGCCCACGGCCTTGCACAAGCCGGCTACACGGCGCAAACGCACGCCGCAGCCCGGAACGTGCATACGCATGCGCAGCCGCGGGGGCGGCCACGGCCTCTCCGACTGCGACCGCGCGGCGAGTTGTTCCCCTGCCCTGGGCAGCCGCAGGGCCCAGGCGGGCAGTGGACACGTGCTGCCCCAGACGGGCTTGGGGGCCCAGGCCGTGGGCGTCGGCACGCAGGCCACCACGATGCAACCCGTGGAAGGCAGGGACCCGGCCGGGGGGCGTCCAAGGCCGAACGAGGGGCCGGGACCAGCCAGGGCAAGAAGCAGCCGCCCGGGAGGCGCCTTCCCGAGGTCTGAGGTCTGCAAAACGCCTTCTGTTTTCTGAGGCTTCCTCACTTGCGACGCCGCCTCCTTCTGCAAGGCCTCAGCCCAGTCGGAGCGGCTAGTCAGGCCCGACCCTCCAAAGCCACACCAGATTACAGGCGCGTGCTCTCTGCAGCCTCGCGGCCACGCCAGACCGGGAGTCCCAGAGCCAGGCCGCAGGGGACAGCTCCGTGCCAGGGCGCTGCTGGTCGGCGTCGACGAGGAAGTGCCCCGCCGCCCAGTCGTGCTGCCAGCCACCGCCACCGCGCTGCGCCCCTGGGCTCCGCTGGCTCCCCAGCAGTGACCCCCCACCACGGGGCCGGCCTCCACATCGACCTGCCCGCCGAAGGTGCGTCCCCACATCCGGGCCTACCGTTGGTAGCCTGCCATCTTCTCAGAGCCACGTCGTGATGCCAGGCCTGCACTTGCCAAGCCGTGGCACCCAACGAAGATCAGCCTTTTCTTCTCCCCCTGGGCCGGCCAGCCAGCGTCAGCCTTTATCACTTAACGTTTTTGTTCAAAGAAGTGGGGCCGACACAGAGCTTTTGGATGTTCCTGATCGGGAGAGTCCAAGATTGGCATCCCGGCCTGCTCATGCTGTTCGCACCCTCTCCTCCTGGCAGGCTCTTTCCTCTCCCTGGGCACTATGGTGAGAGCTTCCCTTCGTCCCCCTCTAGCACCCCTGACCGGAGCTCCTCTTCCTCTACCTCTTCCCCTTCCGCTACCCCTGGATTTTGGGGCCTAAGGGCCATCTCCACTCCTAGCCCGACTAGCTAGTGAGCTGGGGAGCCCGATGTGCTTTGTGTCATTCTGGGCACTAAGTGCTATGCATGTTACTCATCATTCCAAGAGGCCCAGGACACTGCTATCCTTATCTAAAAGAGGGAGACTGGGGATTGGGAAGGCAGGCACCACATTCCCAGGGTTCCTAACGAGCAAGCGTGGAGTCAGGCCATGCTCTGGGGCTGCCCGAGTCTGGCAGCGTCTTGGTCACTGCACTGAGATGACGGAGCGTTAGAATGAGATGACACACTGCATGGTGGCAGGCACGCTGGCTGTGGCCGCTCCAAGTGTGGCTAGCCATTGTTGTTTTATGACTTGTGCTGGATGCAGGTCCATATCTCTGCCTTCTCAATCCAGAGGACGGGCATCCATTACTTCTCTAAGGGAAAGACACCCAGCCCACACGGAGAGCCGGATGTACTCTGGTCTCTCACTGCCGTCACAGCAAGCCAGCCAGAGGCGGACTGCCCTCCCAGGGGCCCAGGGTTCCGTGGACCAACAGGCTGCCCCTCCTTGGCCAGGTGCAGGAGCAGCCAGTTCAGGGGGTTTAACTAGACAGAGGTAGTTTTGAACAGCACCCCACTCAGAATGAGAGGGAAAAGAAAACACTGAGAAGTACCTATGGGAGTTCTTGCTAACACAGGAAATGGTCCTGCTGAGAAGAAGCAAATATTTATGCAAATCATTAACAAAGGGCAGGGGTTGTATTCTTCGCAAATATAAAACAAAATAAGATGAAAAAACAGCATTAGCTCTGCCAAGGCCTCTAGCAGGGAGGGGCAGCGGATCTCGGTGCACCCCCCAACTCCTTCAGAAACGAAGCCTCACCTGATTGGGGAGATGTCACCCATGTAGACTAGCCATGGTGCCACCTGAAGGTGCTGCCTCCAAAAAGACCAAACTCACTGCCATCGACCCGAGGCCGACTCACAGTGACCCTGTAGGACGGGGTAGAACTGCCCCTGTGGGGTTCCCAGACGTAACTCTTCACGGGAGAATGGCCCTGGACAGACAAAGTTGGCTCACCTCTGCCTGGCTCACGGACTCTAGCGGAATAGATCCGACAGATCAGAGTAAGTTTGGATGCAATTTTAAGCACATGTTGTGACGTGTTGTACATGTCTTTCTATGGGTCATGGTCAGGAGCAGGCTGGAGGGTCACTGCAGGCCACACAGGCTGTTCTAGGACTTGCTTTCTCAACTCAGGAGCTCTCGCTTTGGAAAAGGAAACAAAAGTCATCGAGGCAGCCTTCCTGCCCATGCGGCCATCTGGGAATCTGTGTGGTCAAACCTGCCTTGCCTTGGTCTTAAAGAAGCCACCCCACTCACAGACAGGCAGCCTGGAACCTCAGAATACGCATTCTCTCTGTCCGAAGAGGCGGGACAGGGCTACCTGCATTCTGGGTGGCAGAGTACTAAGCAATGGGTCTGTGTCCCTGGTGATGGAGTGCATTATGAATTGGGCTGCTTACCACAAGGTCAGTAGTTCAAACCCACCAGCCCCTCTTTGAGAGATGAGGCTGTCTGACCCCATGAAGACTGACACCGTCAGAAACAGGACAGGGTTACTATGAGTTGGAACGGACTCAATGGCAGTTGAGTTTGGGACCTTGCGTAAGCCGGCTCCTCTTTCAAGATGTGAATTCCTCCCTTGCAAAGTTCAGACACAGGGCACAAGCATGTGCACGCGTGTGCACACACACACACACACACACACACACACAGTCATACAGTTTAAGAGGCCAGATCTACGAATTCCTCCCCCCCACACACACACACACACACACACACACACACACACACACACACACACACTGCTCAGTGGATGAGCCACTCCCTATGGAATCTGGCTCCTGCAATGGCAGCTCTGGGCGAGCTGACGTGAGAGGAGACATAGGGGTAGGAAGCAGCTCCCGGTCGTCAGCACACCTGCAATATTCACTGAGCTACGGGGGACCAGGTATCCACAGAGGCTGAACAGGGTGGCTCTGCAGCGACCTCAGACACTGGGCCCATGTCCACCATCATCCCCTTTTCCACTTCGATTGCACCGGGCACCCATTGTGTGGCAGGACCGGTCACCGTCGGGGAAATGGAAAATGACAAATCTGTGAAATCTGAACAAAGACAATCCCTATATGCCTTTAATGTATGGCCCTCACCAAGCCCAGCCAAATCTGATCAACCATTATAGATTTCTCCCCCGTCTCCCCTGCCTTGGCCACAACTAATTTCACCCTGCTCCAGTAGAATATGGAAGGTAATATATGGTGGCTGGCAGTGAATAAGCTACTGCATTCAGGGGCCCTGCGGGAAGGAGAAGCAATCATGGCAGGCCTCGTTTGGGGTAACCGTTTGTGTGCATTTTCTTTTTTGCATCGTTAAGCAAGACCAAAGTGCCTGAAGGAAAGCTGTGACAGCACTGAGCTAACGTCACTCAAGATCCAAACACCCAGCGTATTTTGTCATTGAGATGCGCGGCCCTTCTCAGGCGTAGGTGGCTGGGGCATCAGACCGAGGGCCAAAGCGCGGCGTGACCCAAACCGACACGGAACGCTCTGCTGTGGACGATACCTCAACCTCCAAGGTCTGAAATCCGGTCAAGTTCCCCGTCCCCTGGCTTTCACACGCTACTTGGCAGAGTAACCCGAACTGTTATCACTGCAGGCATGCCGCAGGGGACACTGAGCTGGTCGTTATAACGACGTGGTCAACAGCATCCTATAAAAGCTCTGAGACTTGGGCTTTGGCATCCCTCCCTCATGTCACAGGTGCATAAGCCGAGGCTCAGGACATCAAAGCAACTAGTCCAAGGTCACACGGTGAGCAAATAGAGGAACAGGATTCGTGTCCCTGCTAAGTTCACGTAAAACCCATGTCTTAACTAGAAACTAACCACTAGTAGTATGTGTAGAGTGGTCTGACTCCTCATCAAGAAGGTTGTAAGGAGAACCCTCAACATTGTACAGAGATTGTTGTATTGGCTTGCTAACCAATTAGAGGAATTTGTCCTCGCTGGTACTGGCCCCACCTCCACCATATTCGGCGGCACAGTCTGCAGGCAGAGAGAAGCAGACCAACAGCACCAGTGTCTACTCCATCAGCATTTGCTGAGTGCTTACAAAGCGTGACGCTGCTCGATCCCATGCGTTCGCTGGGAATCGGAATTGACTCCACAGCGGTGAGGTGGTGCATGGTTTGGAAAGTGCGAGGCAGAAGACCTGGTGTGAGGGACGCACTGATTACCGTCTACGACTTCATGGGCCCCATACCACCCATTCCTGGTCTTTTATTCAGATTCAGTGACCTAGCTGCCAACAGGTCAGCTCTCTGGCATTTGTGTCAGACACTGGCATGCATCTGCCCCTCCCAGCTCCCAGGTGAGGCAGTGACTAGATTCGGCCAATGGAATAAGGGCAAATTGACATGAATCGCTATCAGGCCAATGAAGAGGAGGGCCAGGACCTAGTCTCCCTACTGCCTCTTTCCCTGCCATGACTAGGTCCCAACCATGGAGCCTCGGTCAGCAGACCCATAAGGAGTAGAGCCAACAAACCTGCAGTTGTCTTTGTGTGAGTATTTGGTTTTCACGAGGT